TGCCTCTCTTGCCACCCCTTTTAATATATTGTTTTAGTTCTGGAATATTTGTTATTATATTCATCATCGCCACTACCATTAATTCCACTTGGAGTACGTCCTCACATTTTGAAGTCACTATCTACATCAGGTGTTCAATCAGATCGATCCGATCCGATTGGATCCAAAAATTTCGGATCATGTAAAACTCATTCCATATCCGATCCGAAAATATTCGGATATCCAAAATTTGGATATCCGATTTTTTGGATCGGATCACTGAATTATCCAAAAAGTAGAGTTTTTAGCAAAAATTTACAAAAAAAGGGTAAAATAGCAAAATCAACCCAAAATATCAAATTCAATATAGATTTACTAAAAGAAAAATCCCACCCCTTGGTAATGGCCTAATAAAAATTAAAAATGACACCAAATTTAATTTGGGAGTAACTTTGGTAATTTTGCCTAAACAAACAAAAAAACACTATTAAAACAAAAAATTCTAAAATGCTAATGCAAAAAGTCCAAAATGGTTGAGTTCCAAAATCAACATAAAATTACATTTAAACATATAGTCATAATATATATCCATAAAATTCCAAAAACATATAGCAAAAAAAAATCAGATATCCGATTATCCGAAAAATTCCAGAAATTGAATCCATATCTAGTCCGATTTTTCTCGGGTATCCCATCCGAAATATGCAAAAGCTGAAATATCGGATCGGATATCCATTTTTCGGATCGAATCGGCCTAGATCGTGGACAGATATTTCGGATCGGATATTTTTGAACACCCCTAATCTACATTAATAATCTATCCTTCCATACGTGTGGCACACTACATTCCAAATAGGATTATGATAGGGTAATTTATGCAGATATATATATGACTTAGCTTAAACATATTATTTTTTCCTAAATAGGACTAATTTTATCTACTATAATGTTTGGCAATGGAAAATTCTAAAATGCTCTATCTTTTTGAAAAATGACCTATTAAACGTACAATTCAAGTAGAATAAGACATTATTAAAAAAAAATTTGAATAGTCATTGAAATAATCAGTCATTACCCAATACTTGTTGTTAATGACCCTATTCGTAGAGTCATTCGTAAAATTAGTCATTAAACAGTATGCGTTGCAAATGAGGGCATATATATAGCAGATCATATGATATTATATGTCATAAAAGAAATAAAACATACTTAGTCCTATTCAGGAAAACCTACTATCGTTTTGTCCTACATGGAGCAAATTTTTCATTTTCATAGCCATACCCTAGAAAAAAACTAAGCTCACCTCGTATGCTAACTTCATCTCACATTTTTTAAAATAACTTGGAACCTTGCACTTCGGAAGGATTTAACATGTTGATATATTTATATTTTGATTTAAAATGTAGCTTTATTTATTTTAATTTTGTAATAAATGTATGGTATTTATTATACTTTATGTGTTCAAGAAAGCAATTCCTATATATTTTGACTAATGGAAAATATAAGGAGTGTATATTTGTAGTTGACTTTTCAATTTTGCTCTTGATGTGATACGATAAATATGTTATTAGTGAAAAAGTATGATGTGATAGTTTTGTAGAAAAAAGTAGGGATAAAATTGATTTTTTAATAGAAAGTGAAATTGCTTTGATGGAAGAGAAAAAAAGAATGAGAAAGTATTTTTGTGAACTGAGAGAGTATAACTTTTATAATTTTTATTTCCCTTTAGTATAAAAGTTAAGGTCCATAAAATCAAGGGAGACATAAGATCTACCGAAGCATTTGACATAGTTTTAATGGGGAAAAATTATCTCAAATAATCCCACCTTTTCACGCTCTTTCAAAAATAATCCCACTTTTCACTAGCACCGGAAATAGTCCCACCTTTTCGCATGTGTGCGAGTTTTGGGTCACCGTTAAAAAACTAACGGCCACTTAACGGAAGTTTTTGAAAATGCCTATTTTTTGCAAATAAATGAAAGGTGGGATTATTTTAGAAAAATTTACTTTTTACTTTTTTAGTTTTGAATTTAAAATTAATATTTTTAAAAATATAACAATACACTCTTGTTAGAGATTTGTCTAACGATTTACAAATTTTGTACTGATTTATAAAATTTAGGGGTTCCGTTTCGGAGAAAAAAATATTGTGTCATTTTCACAATTTTTGAATTACTATTTTGGGGAAAATTTTGTATTGACTTATTAAACAAATCACAAATTGGGTAGTTCCATTTTAGAAAGAAAATTTTATTGCAATATAAGATTATCAATAAAAATTTCATAGGCCCCGTTTGGCATCAGCGTTAGAGATTAGCGTTAGCGTTTTCAAAAAGCTATCCGACGGTAGCCTTTAGCGTTAGCGTTTTTAGATTTAATCTACACCATTAAAATTTTATCCAAAACGCTAACGCTAATCAAAAATGCTGTTACCAAACGAAGCCATAGTGTTCATGGAAAAATTGCAATACATCAAAAAATGTAGTGAGTTATAAAAATAAAAGTTCTATTTTAGAGAAAAAAATTGTTGTGTTATTTTCACAACTATTGTAATGTTGTTTCACAAAAAATATTTATATAGAACTATCGAAAAATATTCATAAGTTTTGTAGTGCCATTTTTTCAAGAAATAATAATAATGTAGTATCAAAAAATAATTTGAAGTGCAGCTCAAGAAAAATACAGTAAATGCAACTTACAAAACGGAGGGAGTAGTTAGTTATGAAGTTAATAAATTAGCTCTATTGTGTAGAATAATTTATTTTCTAATTATTACCATATTATTGGTTATTGAAAAAAAACAATTAGTTTCACTCTAAAAACACTTAAATTTGGTATTTTTTCCAAAAAAATAAAATAAAAATACATTTAAAGAAATTAAAAAGCGAAAAAGGGAGAATTTACTTAAAATAATCCCACCTTTCATTTATTTGCGAAAAACGGGAATTTTTCAAAATTTCCGTTAAGTGACCGTTAGTTTTTTAACGGCAACCCAAAACTCGCACACATGCGGGAAGGTGGGATTATTTCTGGTGAGAGTGAAAAGTAGGATTATTTTTGAAAGAGCACTAAAAGGTGGGATTATTTGAGATAATTTTTTCTTTTAATGGTGATGCATATTTATTACCATTTCAGCATTTCTATAATATAATCTTGAATTCTGAAAAGTAATGAAAGGAGAAACGGCGAGTACTTTGAAAGTTTGAATACTGATAAGCTTTGTTTTTTAAAAATATAGGATTAATCTTTACGTAAAAAATTATGTGTATTAAAAAATTAAAACGGTAAACTGCATATTAGAACAATACCTAAAAATAAAAATTTTTTATACAAAATTCATTAGTGGCCATTGAATTTCCTTCAGTCCCAACTTAAATCGTCTGTTTCAATTTACGATGTTGACTTAATAAATTATTTTGAATACAATTTATTTGAGAATTGGAGTTGAATTTAAAAATAAAATTTACATATTAAAAAACTAAATCAAAAGGTCTACGAAACAAGAGGTTGCATGACAATTTTATTTTATCAAATTAGTAGCAAAAAGAGAAAAAGAAAGTGAATGACGTTTGACCGTAGAAAACTTAATTTGGGACGAAGGGTGTAATAGTTACAAAATTTATTTTAATTTATGAAAAATTAAAAACAAAATGCCAAAACTTTAAAATTCACTCCGTATATAATTGTTTGATAAATACTAAAAGAAATTAATGGTGGATACTTTTAGAATTTTATTTATAACATTTTTTAAAAAAATTAATGAAATTAAAATATAGCTTTTTAAGTAATAACATAATTATATTTTAGGGGGTATATATATTTATGGCTTGTTCTTTAAGGCGGGAAAAAAGGAGCTGGGTTTTGGATGAAACCTGAAAAAAGTTGAAGAAACTGGAAAAAACTAAAAGAAACTAGAAGTCTCTTGAGAAAAGTGGAAGGAACTAGAAAAATTAGATGGATCTGGAAAAACTTGAAAAAATTTAAAAATCTGAAAAAACGTTTAAAATTTTCATTATTATTAATTTATTGTGATAATTTATTATTATTATTATTATTATTATATTCACAATCAAGTTATCTTAATCAATGTCTTTAAGATAAAAAAATATTGTTATTTTTTATACAAAAAAAATCTATTGTCACAAAATTTTTTTAAGTAGAAAATAAAATAGGCATAAATATTGAAATGTTACACATAAATTTGCTCGAGCTTTCGTTAATCAATAAAGCTGGAATAACCTCAAAGTAATGACCCCAAGCATGATCTCATGCTTTAGAGAGATCTTGTTGTCTGTGTCACTCAAATAAAAATGGATACGTGGTCTATGCGAAGGTTGAGATTGTAGGAAAATAATAGGAAGAACAAATCAAATGCAGAATAGAGTTCTCATTTTTTTTATTGTGAACTACATACAGGAATTTTATGTTCTTGGATTATTTATAGACAGCAACCAACACAACTTTTGGTACTAATCAACACATCTATTACTAACTAATACAACTTCTAGAAATAACTACCTGTAACCTCTAGAAATAACTACACATTAATGTCCCTTTTATTTTAAAATTTAAATCTAAACTAACTAACTTCTGACCAGGCCAGGAATCAAACAATACGATTAAATCTAACAATCACCCCCCTAATCGTTGTTTGTTCACACCAATCTTCACAATAATGTCGGTACATCATCATCTTCAATCAAATTTGCAATGTCTGTTGGGTTTGGGCTCCCAACTATGTGTCATCTTTAATTAAAAGGCCCAAATATTTTTGGAGGATAAGTCCTCAATACATTTTTGTCCACATATTTTTGAGAGTAAAGTTTGGCAGCTGTCCAGTACTGCACCACGGATGATTCTCGCACAACAACAAAAAAAAACAGCAGAGAAAGGGAGATAGCCGCTGGGTTTTTCTGAAAAACGCAGACCTGTTTTTTTGGTCGATCGGAGGTCCAAATCTTGTCCGATCGAGCTGAAATTTTNAGATGATAATGGTTCTGATATGATGACTAAGGCTTTGCCAAAGGGGAAGTTTGAAACTTGTTGTTTGATTGCCGGTTTGGCAACCACCTCCACATAGTCGGGAGGGGGGAGATTTGTTGGGTTTGGGCTCCCAACTATGTGTCATCTTTAATTAAAAGGCCCAAATATTTTTGGAGGATAAGTCCTCAATACATTTTTGTCCACATATTTTTGAGAGTAAAGTTTGGCAGCTGTCCAGTACTGCACCACGGATGATTCTCGCACAACAACAAAAAAAAACAGCAGAGAAAGGGAGATAGCCGCTGGGTTTTTCTGAAAAACGCAGACCTGTTTTTTTGGTCGATCGGAGGTCCAAATCTTGTCCGATCGAGCTGAAATTTTAGGAGGAGTCTAAGGACTCGTGGAGCTTCAATCTGAACGGTGGAGATCGAATTTCAACGGTTCAATCTCAAGTTATGAGCTTCGCACCAGCTGTTGTTTTTTTTGGTGATTTCTTTCACTTTTGTTCATCTATTTTGATTCTAGTGCCTTCGTAGTGTTGTTAAGGGCTAGATATCATTGTGGTGCTGTTATATTGTGCATTTGTACTCTCAATTTGGTGGTAGTGGAGTTGGTTGGACAGAAGGGTCTCGTGGTTTTTACTCTTTCACATTGAAAGGGTTTTCCACGTTAAAATCTCGTGCCTCATATCGTTTTATTTTCGTGTTTGGATTATCTTATTGCTTGGTGTTCTTTGGTGTGTTTGTTTGTTGCTCCTCATAGATTCATTCAAGAGGGAAAGGTGTTGATCTTGGGCGCTACACATTCATTTGTGTTCTTGCTTTCCCAACAATGTCTTCCTTTTGATCCCATTTTGGACATTCGTTCAAAAATTGTCCTAACTCATTGCACTTGAAACACTTAATGTGACTCTTATCCCGCTGAAACTGACCACCATCTTGACCTTTCCCGGACCCCCGATCTCTACCTCGGCCACGTCCAAAGTCTTCTCGGTTTGAGCTCCAGCAACCACAACGCTCACGTTTGTGCTCCTGAACCTTCTCTTTTCCATCACCTTTAGTGAATAATAGTTTACCATGTGTATCTCCTTCCTCAGTTGGCTTTCTGATGCGTTCCTCGAATGCTTTCAATCTTCCCACCGCTTCTTGAAACGACATTGTGTTAATGTCAGCAAACTGTTCAATTGCAGCAACGATTTGTATGATCTTTTCAGGAACAGAACCCAAAAGCATTCGAACCAATCTTTTGTCTTCAAATGCAGACCCAAGGTTGCCTGCTTCTGTTGCAAGTTGACTAATTTTACCAGCAAAATCATCAAATGAATCATTGTTCTTCATATTTAGAGTCTCAGAATCTGATTCAAGTGTCTATAATCGCGCCGCTTTAACCCTTTCAACACCAACGAAGCAAGTCTTCAAAGCATCCCAAATTTCTTTTGCTTTAGTAAACTGAGCAACTTGTAGCTGGCAAAGCTTGAAACAGATATGCTATTGCCATATTGTTCTTCTTTGGATCGATTTCTGTTCCTGGTTCGATCACCCCCAAAATCCCATTAACATTAAAAATTGCTTTGATCTTCACGGCCCAAATAGTGTAGTTTGTAGCAGTTAGAACTGGAACCTGAAAAGATAGTGAACTATTTTCCCTTGTAGTCACAATCTGTCTGTCGTCTTCCATTGCACGACTTTTATTCCTTTGACAATTTTCACAAAATTCTTAACTTCGATTCCTTCCCGGGTTGTAAGCCACCTGCAATCAACCACCAACTATAAAACAAGCCCCTGCTTTTCTGTCTTCCAAGCCACTAAACAAAAGCTACCCCGCTAATTTGTTTTTCCCGCACTGTTTGGTTGGAATGCTTCTCCCAAAGGAAAAAACTAGCCACTTGCTATTCTTGTCCTAGGCGAGAAAGAATCTTGTCGAAGATTCTTGGTTTGTTGTCGAGGAAGTCTCTAACGATCCGTTATACGATCTGGCACATCTCCCTTTTCTTGCCGCTGATCGCACACGCTCTGATACCAATTGTAGGAAAATTATAGGAAGAACAAATCAAATGCAGAATAGAGTTCTGATTTTTTTATTGTGAACTACATACAGGAATTCTATGTTCCTGGATTATTTATAGACAGCAACCAACACAACTTTTGGTACTAATCAACACATCTGTTACTAACTAATACAACTTCTAGAAATAAGTACTTGTAACCTCTAGAAATAACTATCCATAACTGTCCCTTTAATTTTTAAAATTTAAATCTAAACTAACTAACTTCTGACCAGGAATCAAACAATACGATTAAATCTAACAGAGATGATGATTGGGATCACCTTTTTGGGGTTAGCCTAGCACAGTTTTTTGTTAATTGCAATGAAAATTATATTATATCGTAGATAAGGTCCAGCATAGACCTACATATCAATAAAATAAACTTTTTTAATACTTAAATAAGAATATTTTTTTAATAAAAAATTTTATAAAAAAAATGTTTTATTAAGAGCATCTACAAATATGAAATACACATAATGTGCACCATAGAAGCACTGTACTCTAATTGCAAAAGTCGCTGCTTCAATGAATCATCCTAGGACAAATCCTATGGTAGACCTAAGGTTCATCAGGAACCTACATATGAGCAAAATAAACATTTTGTTATTACTTAAATAAGTACGTAGTGTTTGTTTTTTTAAATAAAAAAAGAAAACAAATTATGTGAGAGGGTCCACAAAATGGACATGCACCCAAGGTAGACCAAAGAAGCACTGGTATGTGAATGTATGTTTGAATAACTCAGTGTCACAAAATAATTTATTACACTTTTTTGGTTTTATGTAAGTTAAGATGTTTAAAAAAACGTATGAATTTTTTCCTGTTTTTGGATTAGAGAAAATCTTGTAAGCCACATTCCTTTGCCAAGAAAGATATGAGTATGTGAAAAGTGTTTTTTAAAATATGTAAAAAGAAAACGTAGATGCCATTTTTAGGGATAGAAAATGTTAACAAGTATTTGTGATGTTTTTTATTGGTAATTAGATAAAATAAAATGGTCCATCAATCTCTTGTTTTGTTGAATATTTTATTTTAATTTTTTAATATTAAAATTTTAATTTTAAATTCTACATTACTATATAATTCATTTTTAAATTGAATTAAAAATTATTTTATTCAAAACTTAGGAGGCGTCATTGTGTAATTGAATTGATCCTTGATTGTTACTCATACGTAGTAGTGTCCTCTAAAGTTACCTGAAGATATACATTAACATTTTAATGATTCACACTGGCACAAAATATAATTGTAATAAAAAAAATTGTACTAACATTTTATTTGTGTGTGAACCATCACCTAACATTATACTGACACAAAATGAAGGTATGTATATTTGTGGTGTACAATTTTGAGTACAAATGTTTGGGTACGAATATCTTAATCGATCCAAATAAAATTGGGTACAAATAGCTTAATGTATGAAGAAGTATACATAAATCTTGTTCACTCTCATTTCGTTATAATTTAATTATTCTTTCCCTATAATTATTCAATAATGTGCATTCTCTATAATTTTAGATAATGTGAAATTATAAATATTCACCGTGGAGTTTAGCATTAAGCTTTGTCTTTGAGTTTTAGGCGGTGAACATTGATACCAAGAAACAAATTCAGCTCCCCTATCACTCATGACAAATTTCCCTTTTAAGGCCCGAGTGATCTGACAAAGAAATCGAGCTCAAGAGACAGTGGGAACGATATCATCCACATGAAGTAGGTAGACCATATCAATCTCCTAAGTGTAGACAAAAAGAGTGGTATTCGTCTTGCATCTATGAAATCCGATCTCCTAAAGCAAACCTGCAAAATGCTAAACCCAAGAGCGGTGTTCCAGTTTTAGCCCATACTGGGTTTTCTTAAGTTTGTAGGCATAATGAGGACGTGAAGGATCCTGAAACAGCTGACTAGCATAGATAGTTTCCTCCAGGAGCCCAAAAAGAAAAGCATTCTTAACGTCTAGCTGGTGTATATGGACCACGCCCGAGAGAGGTTTAGATTGAGCGTAATATGGACTATGGCTGTTCTAATAACCGAGTTGAACGTCTCACTGTAATCAACACCAAAATGCTGGTTGAACCCACAAACCACCCATCGAGCTTTACACTTGGACAAATCACCTGTGGGGCCAAATTTGTGATGAAAAAGTCATTTGCGAGATATAAAATTTTGGTTTGGGGAGGGGGGGTACTAATTCTTTTGTGTTATATTTTATCAAAGCATTAAATTCATCACACATTGCATCATACTTGTTTGGTTCTTTTAGTGCACTACGATGTGTTGGGGAAAGGGGGATATGTGGGTCAAGGTATTGAGGTTTAGGGCATGCCGCGAACGGGAGATACAAGATTTGGCCCTAGTGATCATGGGATAGGTGTTTTGGACCGTGGGGGCCCACGGAGAATGTGGGTCGAGGAAGCTGGGCTTGGCTAAGGGAGTAACATGAGGAGTGGGGATTAAGTGGGTCGGGGGAGCAGGTATTTTGTGTGTGGGCAGTGGGCTGAAGGAAATGTGGGCATGAGAAGCAGGGATTTGGGCCAGCTGGAAGGGGTGGGCTCTAGGGGGATTTTCGGATTGCGAGGCGTAGGTAGAGTGGTGAAGTTTATAGGGGTTAGCGTCTTCCATGGAGTCATGAAAAAGAAAATTATTTGGTGTAATTGGGTGTGTGAAAGAAAAAGTGGGCTCATAACAAAAAACATCCTGGAAATGATTATTATATAAGTGGAAAGATCTAGACACCGAAAGCGATGTTGATTAAACGAGTGCCAAGATAAATGCATTTAGTCGAGCGCGAGCATAGTTTATGATTTGCTATTGCGGAGGTATTATAGGGTAGCAGAGGAATTCAAAGACTCAGAGATGAGATTTAGCTGGGGGGAGTACAAAAGAGTGCTTCATGGGGAGTGTTGTTGTAACATCCCAACCTGCGTAACCCGAATAAATGGATCAGCAAATCAGTTATTATTAAATTGGTATTCTTGTTAGAGTAATAGACCAACGCTAGAGGGGGGGTGAATAGCGTTTGATCAAAGAAATCGCAGGAATTAAAAATTAAAAGATAAGTAAAGAGAAGAGT